TAAAAATAAGGAGATGTGTTTCAAATTTGCAGAGCAGATGGCTACATTTTATTCTCATTCTATTTCATTCTCCTACTATCACTGCTAAAACTTAACAGCGTTAAAACAGAAAACTCTAAACATTCCCTTTGATTCAAGAATCTGACAAACACTAATATACATACATATATGTAAACATACATTTATATACATACATGGTTTTATTTGAAAGGCATAGAAATTAATTTTATGTACACAAAATAAGCATTTAAAGCTATTTAACCATCTTAACAATTTAAAGGTTTAAAGTATATTTCTAAATAGATAGCATCTTATGTATTTTTGAGGAAGTTGAACAACTGAGCACTAGACAGGAAAAATGATAATAATAATAAAAGTCTTTTAGAAACAGAGGGTTTGGGTTTGAGTTCCTGCTTCTAAATGGCTCCAGACAAATACCTTAATCTCTCTGAGCCTCACTTCACTTAATTGGAAAATGGAATTGACACCTGCCATTATAATAAGAAGCCAACAAGCTAACGTGTTAAATAATGCTTTATAAACTCTAGGAATCTATAGACATAAAAAATTATTCAACTTTTCTAGCTACCTTCTCCACATACCTCTCAATGGACTTATTAGATAGTAAGGCCTACAGGAAAGAATGTGGTTATGCAACTAGGATGCTGTCATTTCTATTTTATAGTTCCAAATGGTCTCAGTTTCCTGACCCCTTAGTGTGTCCTAGAAGATAATGTAGAGTAAAGCGTTTAGTTTTTGAATCCAGACCTCTAGGTTGGAATCCCAGTGATATGGTTTGGCTGTGTCCCAACCCAAATCTCATCTTGAATTGTATTTCCACTAATCCCCACATGTCATGGGAAGGACCCAGTAGGAGGTAAGTGAATCATGGGTGTGGTTACCCCCATGCTGCTGTTCTCATGATAGTGAGTGAATTCTCATGAGATCTGATGGTTTTGTAAGAGGCTTTTCCCTTTTTGCTTGGCACTTCTCCTTCCTGTCGTCATGTGATGAAGGATGTGTTTGCTTCCCCTTCCACCATGATTTTAAGTTTCCTGAGGCCTCCCCAGCCGTGCTGAACTGTGAGTCAATTAAACCTCTCTTCTTTATAAATTACCCAGTCTTGGTTATGTCTTTATTCATAGTGTGAGGATGAATTAATACTCCCAGCTACTCTTTTTACTGTCACATGCCTGTGATTTTAGATATACCACTTCATCTTTCTGAGTTTCAAGTTACTAAATAATATGGTGAAAAATGGACCTACTTTCCAGAGTTGTTTGAAGATTGCATGAGAGATTGTTTCTTAGTTTCTAACACCGTACTTGGCACACAGCAGGCATTCAGCAAGAGGTGGTCAGTGTTATCATTGTTATTTATTGTCCTCCATTGCAATTGTGCTTCTGTCTTCATTTGGCAAGATTCAAGACCTGAACATTTTTCCTGATCTGTGTTTGTATATTAAATACTGCTTAATATGAGCAAAGATGAATCTTCTCAGAAGAATCTTTTTTGACTTTAATATTGATCAGAAGATACTGAAAGAATTCACACTTTCTAAATCTGGTAGAGATTTTTCTGCATTAGATCATTTTTTCTTGGGCTGCCGGTTATGATAAGGAAATTCTTTCACATCTCAGTGATTAATATTGCAAATAGATATTATACCAGTGAATATATAGATAAATAAATATATATATATACATTTTATATAAATGTATATAAATAAAAATGTATATATAAATAAACTTTACCTTAAAGTTTTCAAGCAACCACTAAATGAACATATATTTGTATAAAAATGTAGTAACATCCTCAACTAATATTAACCTATTCCTTACTAGCTGACTGAGGACAATAAGCTTAGTCGTGGACATGTCCTGGGCAGACATTAATGATTGCTTATGAACTTGGTTCAGCCATAAAACACAATCTAACTTGCAATAGTAGAAATTTGTATTTTAGACTCTCTGTTCTCTAAGTATCTGCTAGTTTAGTTAAATGAGAGTGAAAAAAATGTAGCATTCATTCTTTTGGGTAGTAGTGATTTGGAAGCCATTTGAATTGTGGACTGTATTTATTTCATTCTCTGTTTCTACTTACTGTTAGCAATGGTTTCATCCCCAAATCAATGCAGACCACTCCTAGATATATTTGTATCTATTATACAAACTTAATAATTATGAGGCAAAACATGTATTTTGAATAGACAATGATGACTGATGAGAACCATAAAAATAAAATGCAAGACAGGGAGATAGAAAATTCCGGAATAAAAATATTTTGAGCCGAGTGTGGTGGCTCAAGCCTGTAATCCCAGCACTTTGGGAGGCCGAGACGGACGGATCACGAGGTCAGGAGATTGAGACCATCCTGGCTAACACAGTGAAACCCCGTCTCTACCAGAAAATACAAAAAACTAGCTGGGCGAGGTGGCGGGCGCCTGTAGTCCCAGCTACTCGGGAGGCTGAGACAGGAGAATGGCCTAAACCCAGGAGGCGGAGCTTGCAGTGAGCTGAGATCAGGCCACTGCACTCCAGCCTGGGCGACCGAGCAAGACTCCGTCTCAAAAAAAAAAAAAAAAAAAAAAAAAATATTTTGAACTGGGTGGTCAGTGAAGGCCGCACTCATACAGTGACTTTTGAACACAAACCTGCAAGAAGTAAAATCATGACCTATGCAGATGTCTGAAACAAAGGGATTCTAGGAAAAGGAGATCACAATTACAAACATCCTGGGGTAGAAGTGTGCCTGTTGTGCTTGAGAAGAGGAAAGAACAATGAAAACTGTAGGGGATAAGAGAATAAAAGAAGCGGCTCATAGGCTTTGCATACAGGTGATTATATCAACAAGGCATACATGAGATTTTCATGGAAAAAAAACAGTAAACAATTCTTTATATTTTTCTACTTTTTACTTTTTAAATATTTTTATTATCTTAAAATTTTTGTGGGTATATAGCAGGTGCATACATTTATTTATGAATACATGAACACATCATAAAGAATGGAGTGTCTATTCATCAACTCAAGCATTTATTCTTTGAGTTACGAATAGTCCAATTACATTATTTAAGTTACTTTAAAATACACGATCAAGTTATTATTTACTATAGTCACCCTATTGTGCTATCAAATAGTACGTCCTATTCATTTTTCTATGTTTTTATAGCCAGTAACTATCCCCACCTCCCCGACAAAACCCCACTAACAATAAAAGCTTCTGGTAATCATTCTTTTACTCTCTATTACCAGGAGTTCAATTGTTTTGATTTTTAAATCCCACAAATAAGCGAGAACATGTGATATGTGTCTCTCTGTTCCTGGCTTATTTCACTTAACATAATGATCTCCACTTACATCCGTGTTGTTGCAAATGACTGTATCTCATTCAGTTTTATGGCTGAATAGAACATCATGATGTATGTGTACCATATTTTCATAATCCATTCACCTATTAATGGATCCTTAGGTTGCTTCAGAATCTTAGCTATTGTAAACAGTGCTGCAACAAACATTGGAATACAGATATCTCTTTGATATACTAGTTTCCTTTCTTTTGGCTATATATCCATCAGTAAGACTGCTGGATCATATGGTAGCTCAATTTTTAGATTCTTGAGGAACCTCCAAACTGTTCTCCATAGAGGTTGAACTAACTTACATTCCCACCAACAGTGTACAAGTGTTGCCTCTTCTCTGCTTCCTCACCAGTATTTGTTATTGCCTGTCTTTTGGATATAAGCCACTTCAATTAGGGTGAGATAATATTTCATTGTAGTTTTGATTTTCATTTCTCCAATGGATTAGTGATGTTAAGCATTTTTACATACCTGTTTTCCATTTGTGTGTCTTGTTTTGAGAAAGGTCTATTCAAATGTTTTGTCCATTTTTGATTGAATTATTAGATTTATTTTCCTATAGAGTTGTTTGAGCTTGTTATATATTCTGTGTATTAATTTCTTGTCAGAGGTGTAGCTCGCAAATGTTTTCGCCCATTCTGTGGATTGTCTCTTCACTTTGTTGATTGCACCCTTAGTTGTGCAGAAGCTTGATGAGATTAGTTGTTCAACTTGATGAGATTACATTTGTCTACGTTTGCTTGATTGCCTGTGCTTGTGGGGTGTTGCCCAAGACATGTTTACCCAGGCCAATATCCTGGTGATTTTCCCCAAAGTTTTCTTGCAGTAGTTTCAGTATGTGGTATTAGATTTCAGTATTTAGTCTTTTTTTTTTTTTTTTAATTTGAGACAGGATCTCATACTGTTGCCCAGGCTGGAGTGCAATGAGGGTGGTCTCAGCTCACTGCAGCCTCCACCTCCCGGATTCTAGTGATTCTCCCACCTCAGTCTTCTGAGTAACTGAGACTACAGGCACGTACCACCAGGCCCAGCTACTTTTTAATCCATTTTTATTTAATTTTTGTACATGGTAAGAGATAGGGGTCGAGTTTCATTGTTTTGCATATAAATACTCAGTTCTCCCAGCACCTCCATTTACTGAAGAGACTGTCTTTTTCCCAGTATATGTTCTTGGCATCTTTGTAATAAATGACTTCACTGTACATGTGTGAATTTGTTTCTAGGTTCTCTATTCTGTACCATATATCTACACGTCTATTTTTAGGGCAGTACCAGACTGTTTTGGTTACTATGTCTCTGTAATATAATTTGAAGTCAGGTAATGTGATTCCTCCAGTTTTGTTCTTTTTGCCTTGGATAGCTTTGACTATTCTGAGTCTTCTGTGGTTTCACATTCATTTTAGAATTGTTTTTTCTATTTCTTTGAAGAATGGTAATGGTATTTTGATGGAGATTTCATGCATTGAATGTGTAGATTCCTTTGGGTAATATGGACCTTTTTAACATTATTGATTCTTCCAATCCATTAGCATAGAATTTTTTCCACTTTTTTGTGTCCTCTTTAATTTTCTTTGTTTCCATCAGAGAGATATTTCACATCTTTGGTTAATTTCTAGGTATTTAATTTTCTGTATGGCTATTTTTTTTTTTTTCAGCATTCAAAATCTTTTTAATAAGAGGGTAGGATCCAAGGTTAGTTCTTGTAGCCTCGGCTGGCCCATCGGCCTCTGGCACGCTCGAACTTCCGGCCCTTGGAGCGGACTTAGGGTTTGGTGTGGCTGTGCACGATTCCTGGGGCCTTGCCGAAATGCCGGTACACCTCTCGGCCCTTGCCAGGACCGGAGAGCAGGACAGTGCTGCAGCCCTTGGGGGAGTCCAGGGCCAACTGGTCGAAAGTGAGGATCTTGCCCCCTGCCCTGAGGATGCGGCTGCGGGCCGGCTGGTTACGCGCAATGCACATACCTTCAGTTTGAGCACCTCCTGAACCCGCACGTCATCCGTTATGGTCCCCACAACCACGGCCATTTTGTTTTCCCGGCCAGGAAGCTTCATGTTCCGGATCATCCGGGAAAGGGACAGAGGCGGCCGGTTGGTGCGACTCATAAACAACCTCTTCAGCACAACCTGGTTGAATGTGGAATTGGTTCTTCTGGCCAGAAACCTGTACAACTTGACCAACAGCCTCAGGTAGATATCCTGGCTCTTGGGCTCCTTGCGCCGAACCTTTCCATCCTTGTTGTGGCGGATGTCAACTCCCATGATGGCGCCTCCTGCTCGGCCAGGTCCGGAAAGCCTGTATGGCTATTATAAATTGGATTACTCCTTTTACTTCTTTTTCACATTGTTCACTGTTGGTGTATAGAAATACTGGTGATTTATGTATGTTGAGTTAGTATCCCACAACTTAACTCGATTTGTTTATAAGTTTTAAGAGTTTCCTTGTGGAGTTTTAGGTTTTTCCAAATATAATATCATATCATCTGCAATGAATTCTCATGAGATCTGGTTGTTTAAATGTGTGTAGCAACATCCCCTCATTCTGTCTACCTCCTGCTTCAGCCATGTAGGATGTTCCAGCTTTCCCTTCATCTTCAGCCATGATTGTAAATTTCCAGAGGCCTCCTCTGCCATGCTTCTTGTCCAGCCTGTGGAACTGTGAGGCAATTAAACTGCTTTTCTTTATAAATTACCCAGTCTCAGGTAGATCTTTATAGCAATGTGAAAACAGACTAATACACTTTTATATCATTCTTTTGTCTAAATGCTCTAGCTAGCACTTCCAGTACTATGTTGAAAAACAGTGGTGACAATGGGCATTCTTGTCATCTTCCAGACCTTAGAGAAAAGACTTCTAGTTTTTTATTCCAATCACTATGATACTAGCTGTGAGTCTGTCATATAGGGTTTTGATTATGTTGCATATGTTCCTTCTATACCCAGGTTTTGGGGATTTATATCATAAATGGATGTTAAATTTTATTGGATACTTTTTCAGCATCAATTGATATGATATATTGCATTGATCTATTTACATATATTAAACCATCCTTGCATCTCAGGGATAAATTCCTCTTTGTCTTGATGAATAAAGTTACTAAAGTATTGTTGAATTTGGTTTGCTAGTATTTGGTTTAGGATTTTGGCATCAATATTAATCAGATATATTGGCCTGTAGATTTCTATCTTTGATGTGTCTTTGTCTGGTTTCAGTGTCAGGGTAATACTGGCCATGTAGAATGAGTTTGGAAGTATTTCCTCCTCATCTATTTTTTTGGAATTGCTTCAGTAGGATTGGTATTAGTTCTTTAAATGTTTGGTAAAATTCGGTAGTGAAGCCATTAGGTCCCAGGTTTTTCTTTACTGTAAGATGTTTACTTATGGCTTTGATCTTGTTACTTGTCATTGGTCTGTTCACGTTTTGCATTTCTTTATGGTTCTGTCATGGCAGGTTGTCTATACCTAGGAATTTGTCCATTTATTCTAGATTTTCCAATGTATTCACATATACTCACAGTAGTCACTAATAATTCTTATATTTTCTGCATATCAGCTGTATTGTCTCATTTTTCATTTCTGATTTTAGTTATTCCGATCTCTTTTTTTCTTAGTCTGGTTAAAGGTTTGTCAATTTTGTTCTTTCCTGTCAAAAAGGTAACTTTTTGGTTTTTGGATCTTTCATGTTTTCTTGTTTCTGTTTTATTTATTTGTGGTCTGATATTTATATTTTTTGTCTACTAATATTGGGTTTGATTTGTTCTTGCTTTTCTGTTTCTTTAAGGTACATTGTTAGATTATTTGAAGTTTTTGCCCTTTTTTGATGTAGGAACTTATAGCTATAAGTTTCTCTCTCAGTACTGTTTTTGCTGTATCCCATAGGTTATGATATGTTGTATTTTCATTATCCTTTGTTTCAAAAAATTTTTCAATTTTCTTCTGAATTTCTTCATTTACCCACTAGTCATTCAGGAACATGTTGTTTAATTTTCATGTGTTTGTATAGCTTCTAAAATTCTTCCTGTTATTAATTTCAAGTTTTATTCCATTGTGGTCAGAGAAGATACTTGATATTATTTTAACTTTTTTCCATGTTTTAAGATTTGTTTTGTGACTTAACATGGTCTATTCTTGAGAATAGTCTTTGGACTAAGAAAATGAATGTGTATTCTGTAACTCTTGGATAAAATGTTCTCTAAATATCTACTAAATCCATTTGATATACAGTGCAGATTAAGGCTGATTTTTTTCTGTTTTTCTGTCTGGAAATATGTCCGATGTTGAAACTTAGCTGTTGAAGTCTTCGTATATTATTGTATTGGGGCCTATCTCCCTCTTTAGTTCTGATAATATCTCCTTTATATATCTGGATGCTCTGGTATTGAATGCATATATAATTAAATTTTTATTTCCTCTGCTGAATTGACACTTTTGCCATTATATAGTGACTTTGTCTCTTCATATAGTTTTTGTCTTCGAATCTGTTATGTCTGTTATAAGTATAATGACTCCTGCTGTTTTTTTGTTTACCATTGGCATGGAATATATTTCTCCACCCTGTTATTTTCAGTCTCATTCCTGTCTTCCTCTTGTGAAAACAATTTTATCTGGTGACGCGATTTAGTTTCTTGCTTTTTATTTATTGTGTATCCATTGTCTGTTTTTTGATTTGAAGTTCCTATGAGGTGTGCAAATATTAACTTATAACCCATTATTTTAACCTGATAACAACTTAATGCCTTTTGTGTAAACAAAAACAAGCAAAAGGAAAACTAATAAGCCTCACGTTAACTTCATCCCCCTGCTATTTTACCTTTTGTCGTTCCTATTTATAAGTAAATTTACTGACTGTGTTTTGAAATGTTTTTGTAGTTATTATATTTGATTAGTTCATCATTTAATCTTTCTATTTAGTGTAAGAGTAGTTTACACATCACAGTTACAGTGATAAAATATTCTGTTTTTCTGTGTACTCACTATTACCATTAAGTTTTGTACCCTCAGGTGATTTTTTATTGCTCATTAATGTCCTTTTCTTTCTGTTTGATATACTATCTTTAGCATTTCTTTTAGGATGGTTCTGGTATTAATGAAATCCCTCACCTTTTGTTTACCTGGGAAAGTATTTCTCCTTCATGTTTGAGGGATATTTTCAGCAGATATACTATTCCAAGGTAATTAGTTTTTTTCTTCAGCACTTCAAATTTGTTATGCCACTTTCTCTTGGCCTGTAAGGTTTCTACTTAAAATTCTTCTGCTAGATATATTAGAGCTTAATTGTATGTTATTGTTTCTTTTCTCTTGCTGATTTTAGGATCCTTACTTTGCCTTGACCTTTGGGTTTGATTATAAAATGCCTTGAGTTAGTCTTCTTTAGGTTAAATCTGCTTGGTGTTCTATAACTTTCTTCTTTGATATTGATGTATTTCTCTAGGATTGGAAAGTTCTTTGCTATTATTTATTTGAGTAAACTTTCTACCTCTATCTCTTTCTCTGCCTCCTTTATAAGGCCAATAACTATTAGAATTACCCTTTGAGGCTATTTTCTAAATCCTGGAGGCATGCTTCATTGTTTTTTATTGTTTTGTTTTGTTTTTTCTTTTGTCTCCTCTGACTGCGTATTTCAAATAGCCTGTCCTCAAGCTCACTGATTCTTTCTTTTGATGGATTCATTCTGCTGTTAAAGAGCTCTAATACATTCTTCAGTATGCCAGTTGCTTTTTTGCAGAATTTATGCTTGATTCTTTTGCATTATTTTAATCTTTTCCATGAATTAATCTAATACAATCTTGAATTTCTTTTATGTGTTATCTTGAATATTGTTGAGTTTTCTCAGGACAGTTATTTTGAATTCTTTGTCTGAAAGATCACATACCTCTGTTTCTCCAGGATTGGTCCTAGTGCCTTATTTAGTTCATTTGTTAAGATCATGTTTTCCTGGATGGTGTAGATGCTATTAAATGTTGCTCACTGTCTGGGCATTGAAGAGTTAGGTCATTATTGTTGTCTTCACTCTCTGGCCTTTTTTGTAGCAGATAGCTACAAAAAACCTTCTTTGGAAGGTTTCCAGTTATTTGAAAGGACTTAGGTGTTGTAATCTAGGCTGCTTCTGCTGTGGTTCTTGCAGACTCATAAAGGTACCACTTTGATGGTCTTGGACAAAATCTGAGAGAATTCTCTGGATTACCAGGCACAATTTCTTATTCTCTTTTATTACTTTCTCACAAATATAGTCTTTTTCTCTGTTCTGAGCCACCTTAGGCTGAGGGCGGAGTAATCAAGTACCCCAGTTGCCTCCCACCACTACGACTGTGCTGGGTAAGATCTGAAACCAGCACAGAACTGAGTCTAACCCAAGTTGTGCTGTAACCACTCCCTCACTACTCCATATGTTTGCTCAAGGTCCTGGGGCTCTAAGGTCAGTGGGTAGTAAATCCAGCCAGACGTGTGTTCCTCCCACCAGGGTGATGAGGTCTCCCAGGCCTTGGGTGGGTCCAGAAGTTACATATGGGGGACAGAGAGTAGAGTCAAAAACCTTAGAGGTCTACTTGGTATTCTCTGGTTTTGCAGTTGAACTGGCGCTCATCACAAGATGCAGTTTTTCCCATTCATTTTCCCCCTTTTCAAGGGCACAGGAGTTTTACCCCATTGCCACTGCCACCCTTGACCATGAGGAGTACTACCAGACTACACCAATGTTGCTTTAAGGCCTAAAGTCTCTTAAGTCAGCTTGTGGTGAATGCTACTTGGTCTGGGACTCACCCTTTAGGACAGTGGGCTCTCTTCTTGCCAAACGTAGGCCCAGAATACCATCCATAGTTAAGTCCTGGAATCGGGGACCCCAAGAGCCTGCTTAGTACTATAACCCCTCTAGCAGTGTTGGTACCTCAGGTGCAAGAAAAAGTCTTCTTTACTTTTCCTTCTCCTTTGCTCAAGCACAAGTTTTGTCCCACAGACACCACAGCTGGTATTGTGCCGAGTCTTACCTGAAGCCAGCAAATCTCATAGTACCTGGGTATCCCTGTCATTATTCAGTACCACAGGCTCTTCAGTTCGCAGGTGATGAATGCTTCCAGCACTAGGTTCTTTTCTTCAAGGAAGTGGGTCTTTTCTTGGCCCAGGGTGTGTCTAGGAATGATGTCTGGGAGCGAGGGCCTGGAACAGGGTCCTCTTTTATCTGACCAGTTCCCTATTCTGCTGTGGTTGGCTGTTGTCAAAAAAAAAAAAAAAAAAGCCTTCCCGCTCTTCCCTCTTTACTCCTCAGACAGATGACATGACAGTCATGGCTTTTG